TGATCCCAGTGTTGTCTGAGGTGTCCGTGTTGTGTTCAATCTGGGAGGTGAGGGTTGAGATAGTTTGCTATATTATATTGCCATATTACTACGAACTTCGGGTCGGCCATGGCCAGGGATCTCAAAATTGCTAATTGAATTTGGACGAGGAATTTGGTCCATCAGTTGGTTTTGAAAATGTGCTGACAATTTCACCTGAAACTTTGGTTTAAGATTTGCTAATGTGGACCGAAACACCCCTGAATGGTTCCATCCTCTCCCAGTTTAATCAAGTTCGACACCCAAGCCCTAGGCTAAGCTTGTAACATTATCAGGAAATCACGAGTTCAGCCCGCTCAACGCTCTACGCCGCGACCGTCCTGACGTTGTACGTCTTCCCCCCCCCATCTGTAGGTGTGTTCAATTTTTCCGCTTTATACCTGTAAAACGCCCCCGCATGTAATCCTTGGAGTCCCCTTCCATCCCGCCGGAAGAAGAATGAGACCTCCGAGATATTTATCGGGATCCTTTATTAATTAAACCCGTCCTCCTATCGATCAGCTCATAATAAAATATAATAAGGACATAAAAAGGACTCAAAAGTGAAAAAGAACTTTTTTTCCGATCGTTTCTTTCGTTCAGATCTGAAAGGGTGAGTACCCGGGTACCCGCGGCCGCTTCACTCAGCAGTCCGAGCCGGCACACGCTCGGCCTCACCGAGCCGGCTCGGACACGTCTCCTCGGGCACCTCTCGTCCGTCCACTCGCGTTACTTCTCGACGACTGGCGTGGACGAGGCGTCGAAAGTAAAAGTCTTTTCACTCACAGGCTTTTCACCCCGCAATCGTTGTCATTCCTCGCGACCGTCTAGGAATTCAATTAAATTTGGCAAACGGTCGGACAATTTCGAGAATGTTTAACAGTTCAAAAAAAAAATTAGGGCTGTACTTCTAGCGTGAAAAGTTATTTTTAATTTGGTCGTGGGGCTGCAATCTCCTTTAGTTGGCATACATGGATTTCTATGAGGGGGAAACTCTTCAGCTTAAAGGCTCCTTCATCCCCCATAAATGAAGTTTCTTCAGTCGGACCTAACTACAAGGTTATCATGGAGCTATCGCCCTAATTTGATTTACCATAACTTTTCCAGGGACAGTTGACTACAGCTTGACAGAGAAGTTCATGAGTCTAATGGGCTTTCTCGCATACCGCAAGATATCGATAGAGGACGCTTTAGTCGACCGCAGTGCCCCATATATACTTTTCACGCCACTTTTTAGGTAGGGGAAAAAAAAAAAACCTTATAAGCCTCTGCGTCAAATATCAGTTGCATCTGAAATCCCTTTAGGTCAAAGGAAATTGGATGGTGACTTGCAACCGTCCGACTTTGTTGGGTCATGTTGTTTGCTCAGATTTGAAATAAAATTTGCCTTTTTAAGGTTTTCCTAATAGATATATACCTATCATTCAAATCGGTTTAAGGGGCTAAATTGGGCAAACTAGTTTCGTTAAATTTGAGTTTATGCTCAAGGTCACCCATCCCGATCCACCCGTAAACTTTGTAGCGGGATCGTCAGTTGCACACCTTGTCCAATATCAAGAGTTCATCTATCTTATCGTATTTGCTTGAATATACGAATCTTACTTTCTCTCATAGATAAACGGTTGGTCTCTTCATCACCCTCTATTTCCGCTATGGACTACATGGATGGCATGCGTCTTGCGCGAAGCGATGAGGCGGGTGGGGGGAAGGGAAGGATAGCCTCGGAGGCAAAAAGTGAGACGTGAATGCCGCGCGCAGAAGTCGTCCTCCCCTCCGCGAGTCGGGTTTTCATGCTGCAGGCTCAGTCTGTGGATTCCTGTCGTCTCCCGTGTCCCAAAGAGCTCAGCTGGTTCTGCATGTGCTTCGGTGGGTCCGCGCCCTCTTCATTGCGTTTCAGTGGCATTCGGAGGTGTATCTGTGGCACCGAGGTGACTGCTTCATCTATGCCAATGTGTGTACGTGGGTCCTCCCTCGTATGTCTTAACCCCTTTTGACCTGGTGTACATGAACTTCAAAAATTTTTTTTATGACAGACCATTTGTACACTCAATACCATGTTCACTATTATATAGAGTGTCTCAAAAGGTATAGACACATTTTTAAATTCATGTCACAAATTAAATGAAGTGCAACTCAAATACAGGGTGGTGACAAAAAAGTGTCATATGATAGTCGAACTCTACACGTGTTTTTTTTTATAGTCCTTGTTGATTGTTATATTGATGCTTGCCTATGACCGAACCGAACAGGTCCGACACAAGTCGATGCCGACAGGATTCAGCTGGTTACTCGCAAAGGAGTGGCGCCTTCCTGGCGAAGGCCGAGTCGAGTCGTGAGCGAAAATGGGGAAATGGACGGACTGCACGTGTCGAAGACGGGATCATTGCAGGTGTCTGGGTACGTAAAGATGTTTCAAGACCCTTTAAGTTGTCTATCACAAGTTTATTCAATCGATGAACACGTACTTTCATATTTAGCATGGACCCGGTTTAACTGAAGCTAAGTTAGAATTTCACGATTTTGCATATAACTTGATTATGATTTGGTCATGAATAATGCAACGACAGGCCTAGGCAATGTGTGTAGGCACAATGAGTTAGTTTATATATTTTCTTCCATTACTTACTGCAATCTTTGTTGGTGCCTTTTGTGCCAGGTATAGCATGCGAGCTAATAGCAAGGTTTTGCTCGCTTTTGCATCGGGAGGCAGATCAATATAAGAGAAGGCAGAGTAGGAACGAGGTCCTACTACTGCCATCTCTTCCAGCGAGGAGATGATGAGAGTAGGAAGAGGTTTTCAAAGTTTTCGTCTTCCAGCGAGGTTTTCAAAGAGGTGTCAAGGGCCAAAGAGTTGATGAAAGTCAACCTCTTTTTAGCCCTAATTCAAAGAAGGATATCGCTATACTCATTTAAGTGCCGTTCAAAAATTAACCAAAACCTTCACCCTACCCCTAGTCAGGGTAGGGATGGAGGCCCCACACCACTTTCGTCGTAACCGCCGAGCGCCAGGCGTTGAAAGTTGGTGTGTACCCAATTGAGCCTGGGTGAGGCGGCGGCCAGGCCCGAAGCCTGGCCTCCCGGACGGCACGCGGACGCTCTACTCAGTAGGCCAACCGCCGGTTGAGAATATTTGCTTGAGTTATGGACTACATGGATGGCATGCGTCTTGCGCGAAGCGACGAGGCGGGTGGGGGAAGGATAGCCTCGGAGGCAAAAAGTGAGACGTGAATGCCGCGCGCAGAAGTCGTCCTCCCGTGTCGTGTTTCATGCTGCTGAGTTAGTCTGTGGAACCCTCCCGTCCAATAAGGTGACTGTGTGCGTTCCTAAGGATCCTCGCATTTCATCTGTGTTTCAGTGCCCATGGATGCGGAAAACACAGATGGAGATTGATGGGAGAGGATTCTCTCTCAGACTCGGGTATGCTTGCTTCGGCTCTGTTTCATGTCTGTAGATAACTGCAATATGCATGTCTTTGCGTTTCTGTTAGCTTCTTGAGCTTACCGAAGTCACAGCTAGTAGTAACGGTATTAGGTCACATTAAGCTATTATATACTTCTTTAGCGTTCTCGGTGTGTTGGTTCCGACACGGGTATCAATTGTTTTTGGAGAGATTGATGTCAATTGTAACCCGGCTCCACCAAGACAGATAAGTCCATAGACTCACGTTGACAGGAGAATGTTTTAGGTTGACTCTTGAGGGAATTTGAGCCTGAACAAACAAGTGTTTCATTTCTGTTCAATCATGATGTATGATGGCGCAAAGAGCAGGATGCACTATTGACTCATGAGGAGACGAAGACTGAACAGTGATTGCTTCTCCTCTCGAATTTGAAACCTGATGGGTGTTTCTTTTCCCATTTTTTTAATGTATGGAATTTGAACAGGCTCACGATTTACAGTGCAACATAATTCCTGTATTTAAAAAAAAAGATACATAAATGTAACCTACGTGGAATGAATGGAATCTCGTCTCCTTGTTGCTTTCCCACTCTCAGTTCCTTCGCAGGCCAGAGAGGAAAGTCTCCGTGTACCTGGAAGGCCAGTCCAACAGTGGACGACGCAAGGGAAGAGACTCACGCCCTCGCATTGAGAAGGATAGTTGGAATGCGTCTCTTTGTATCCCCCTTTCCGGTATCCTCATCAGACTTGTCTAGTCTTACCTTACCGTTTACTCGTCTTTTTTTTTTTAGTTCCATGTGTATTTCAGCGTTGATGTGCGTAAACATGCGTTGGAAGACTGTTTGAAAAATCGAATGAGCGGGGATCCCAGATTTGCAATACGAAACAGAATTTGCGAGCAGGCTTGGTTGGGATTATTGAGAAAATGAGAGCGGAAGTGCACTGGTTCTCAGGTTCACCCCCTTTTCACTCCTTAATTATACATATTTTATATGTATAATTAAGAAGTGAGCGTTGTCTGCAAGAATGGATTCCGACAAATATACATGGCGACCCTTTTTTTTTAAAGGTGACTGTGCAAGAACACAGGAATGACAGCCCGGGGTTCCCGAATCCCTTTTATTGAGCTAGAATCACAGACATCCACCGTCTCGAAGCGTATAGGCCTATATAGAAGACGAAACACAAATCATGCTGTTTGTACGGCGGTACTCAAGGGGGAACGGAACCGTGAAATCCGGCCTGAAGCCTGTCGAGATCCTACGCCACTCGGCCGACCGACTTAGCCAGCTTTTGCACCGAATGCAACAGAATGCAAAGGTGAAAGGGTCTTGGATGTTGACACCATCGTTTCCCCGCACTGGAGCGATGGGTCCACCAGCCTCTGATGCATCCCACTGCACAGAGGCCATTTGAGGACGTCGCCGTCTAAGCACTTGCCAGCGGGAAACCAAAGGAGGAGGCGTTGGATGCTTCAAGGCTCCTCTCCTAATAACCTATTCTAGCTATGATGCAAGTATCTATCGGAATAACATTCCTTAACCATATTCTCCCATTTCTTATGTAGCAGATGACGATTATTACCCATCGATGTAAAGTTCCGTTTCCCCTTGAATTGAGCGATGACAGATATCCCCCCCCAATCTCGAGTTCCATATTTAGTTGGTCCCTATAGTGTATATATGTAGAATAACCATAATCTTGACAGATAAACGTTGGATAAAACTTCTGAAAATGAATAAAGTACTTCTGTTGAACACCAGAATCACAGAAAGCGAACACACGTTTTCGTAATCCCTGCCTTAAGCTGCCGTAAATATTGAGAACCCGCCAAATTCATATTTCCTGCAAGGCCATATTTGTCAAGGCACACCACAGGCATCAAGCCCCCCCCCTCACAACTGGCTGAGGTTGATGGAAGCGACCAGATCCTTGAAGGCGCGCTCCACCTGCCCGCGAGTGAAGTCGTAGGACCAGAGGGAGGAGAAGACGACGTCGGCCCGGGCGATGCGGTCCCGGTTGCTCCACTGGGAGGCCAAGCGGCGGCGGGCCGCCTCCGCGTCCACCCCGTCTCTCGCCTCGAGGCGCTTCACGGCCTGTTCCAGGTGCAACGGGAACGACGTAATTCAATGAATAACGAAAGCTGCTCTTTCTCGAAGAGGGCTGGTATGCACTAGAGCCAAAAGGGCATTTTCCCGCTACCATGCTATCTACATACCAGTAGAAATTAGGTTATCCTTTTATTAAAGCAATCATATTAGTTATTTTACTAATTGATTTACCCGCTTCAATTTTCACAGAATGTACAAGTTGTTTTAGCAAAACAAAAAAAGAGACACTGCAATGTGAGAAAAACCCTTTTAGCTCTTTCTTCTCTATTTTCAAATCGATGCTGCAGGGCATCTCGACCGTCTGGAATTTTCTTTCTGCACCTGACAAACGACCACCCACCTAGTATTGCTCACGGTATAAGCATGCATTTCAGATAATATGAAGCAAAAAATTATCGAGCCTCAACGCAAGGGTACAGGATATAGCTTCAGATGAAAGTGCCAGACGTTTTGCTTGCTGCTTGCAACATGTCACCAAGAAGCCACAAATTCCCCACTCATCAAAAGTAATTCTTAACGATCCCAGCCCCCTTGAAGGGGGCAGGGATCCCATCAGACCCTGTGCCATGTACACATGCCAAATATCAAAATGTTGGAACCCGATCTAACCGCTTCTACGTCATGAGCCAAGCTGTCAGTCGTAGCAGAGGTTAAGAAAGGCTCCACGAAAGAAAAAAAAGTTGTTCATTGCACTCGGTCTGCATCGTAGCAGGGACTTGCGAACTTGGTACTTTGAGGTCAATAATGAACAAATTGAAAATAAAGGGATATGTGACTTATTATAGTGCTCTAATGGGATGAGTCAAAATATAGATAGCATGTACACAGACCATGAGGCATTGCGCCAATATCATTTGCGTTTCAGGGTCCAATTACATGGAACTCCTCGATCAGTATGGATCCAGTGGTATTGAAATAACGTCCAGCCTAATATGCTGCTATTGTTGGCGCAATGACAGCGACAGGCCCTAGAAACGATTTTCGAATATGATCCTTCATCACTGGCTTCCTATTAGCTTCTTTCACTGTCAAACAATGCATGTGATAAACATGCCACTCTATTCCTCCAATACCAAGAAGGATACAAATATTGGCTTCTTTGCTTTGCCCACCAGAGGTCGAGCTTAGACAACGAGCCAAAATATGTTGGTATGCAATATTGCCGTCGGGTCTGAAGAGGTTAATACTCAGGACTCTCAACGCCGGGCAAACCACATCCTACAAAGAAAAGTTGCAATGGATGCAGAAGGCCTACCTCCTGCTCTGGCACGAAGGAGACCCAGACGACATGGCAGACGGCATCCCAGCCGGCCTCGAGGAGGACGGCGGCATCCAACACCACCACCTCCTTCCCTTCTTCGCCGAACTCTCGGATCCTCTCCATCGCCTTCTTCTGGATCTCCGGCCACACGATCCCCGTCAGGCGAGCCATCTCCTCCTGCAGGCCGAACACGAGGTTTAAAGTGCAGTGATGGTGGGGTTGAGAGACGATTTTGCACATATTAAAACATCCTAGTTGCGGTCAAGCACTCTTCTTTCTCTCTTTCACCCTTTCTCTCATAGCCCTAGCAATGAGTGCCTTATCCAAGAGGGCTTTTGACCTCATACTGAAATCGGGGACAGCCCCGATTTCAGTATCACATCTGAATGTAAATGGTAAATGTAACTGGTAAAAAGTTATCCTTCTACTGAAGTTAAAGTCTAAGTAGTAACAAATGGCTTAATTGTTTCGACCTTGTCTTTACTGTAAATGGCGTTAGACTAATAAAACAAATTATTGTACAAATTTATTAAAAACAAACCATTCAAACATTAAAAGCAGTTCCTGGATTTATTTATGCATGAATTTCATTTAGGTACTTGTGTATTGATTTCTTGACTTTTTTCATGTATCTCCAAACAATTTGTCCAAAAAAAGTACTTAAAAGAGCAAGTCTATTCATGGCATCAGACCCATTGCTATCTAATTTCTTCACCACATCTACAGAAAATTTCATGCAGTCAAGCCTCAGCCAGGATTGCACACAAAAAAAACATCAGCAGACATGGAAAGCTACACTACATTCCACTATCAAGTTTAGTCTTCCTTCTAGAAAGTAAAACTAAGCCTTAACAACAAAGTTCATATGGTTGTAAAAGTTGAAGTCTTTGTTTAATGGTGGAATGATGTACACGAGGGCAGAAATTTAGAATAGTGCCATGATCCCTCCAGAATTATGGAGGTTATCAGCATTTCACACCTACTCTTGGGGCTGCAAGAAAGTGAGAGAGGAACCAAAACACCACACCTTGTTCCCAAAAACCTTGGCACCGAGTTTCTTGCGATCGATGTTCCCATCTCCATCCAGGATGTCCCTTCCGAACGCATCTAGGACTTTGTGATATGCCGAGGTCTGTTTGGCATACGCCCGGTGTCCCAGGGC